GGAAGATTTGGCGGGTACAGCACAGATCGGTGCCCTGCTCATCCCTTCTCCCACTCGGGGCTTGAGCCCCTCTGGCTGACCTCGAGCTCTAACGGTCTATAGTTGGGAACCACCCTGGCCTGGCAGCCTCACCCCACCTCCCTGCTCTGAGCCCAGTAAGTGGGTCTGCTGCAGAAAACCCAGAGATGATGCCCCACCTCACCATCCTCCACCACGAGGGGGGTCACAGCCCCCTAGCAAGCCGCTCAGAGCTTGTGAGAGCCCAGGTCACTCCCACTGTTTTAAGGCTCCCGGTTTATTTAAAAACTAATAGGTACTAAAAGAGTTACGCAAACTGGGGGATATTTAACATTTTTACATTTAACACGTATTTTACACAGAATACACTCAAACATGACTGCAGGCTTACCTACTAGGAGGTATGATGAAAGTCCACATCTGAGGCCATGGGAATGGCTCTCTTGGGACAAGCCACACATGCTGGTGACAGGTGCATCAGGGCTCCCACCCAGACTCCAAATACAGAGCCCTTGGCAGGGAGCCTGCACATGGCCGGCACTCCCCCCCGGAGCCTCACAGAATCCTGGCTCCCCATTCTGTCAGAACTTGGCCAGCTCTGGGTGGTCAGAGTCAGTGCTAGAGGCACTCTGGTGCAGCGGCTCAGAGACAGGCTTTTACTTGAGGGCTTACACCCAACTCTGCAAAGGACTGAGGCGGCACACAGGCTCTTCACGGTGTAGCAAGATGAGGCCGGGCAGGCGGTGCGAGGAGGATGGGGTGAGGACAGGCACCCAGATCCAGACCCAGGGCTGGGCAGGTGGAGTTCAGCAGAAGCCAGAGGGGTGACCGCGCTAATCCTGTGGCTGGCCGCCACGCCCCGTGGGGACATCTCCCCACTCTCCCCTGCCGCCTGTGTCAAATGACGGCGTGCGGGGGAGGCCTGGGGGGGGGTCGGGGGAGGAGGGAAAGAATGCAGCCTATACACACCCCTTGTCCTTCCAGAAAATGGAGCTGGCACTAGTGCCCCTGAATGCCCACGGCACCTTCTATGAGGGGGACTGCTACATCATCCTCTCGGTGAGCACCATGCTCTGGGGCCCCACTGGGAGATCTGCCCGTGAGGTTAATCTGGTATCCATCTTGATTCTTCCTCGCTTTTATATAGAACAGGCCTCCAGTTTGACTATCAAAGGGTTTCTTAGGCCAGGGTTTTAAACTTTGCATCAGAGGGTATGGGTGTGGCCCTCAGTCTGAACCTCAGCGAGTCGCCTACAGCAGCACTTCTCCCTCTGGGACCCAGACCCCAGATCACAGTGCTGTGAAGGAAGGCCAGGTGGATACAAGGCCACCTCTGGCCTCGAAGTACTCATCTAGCGGAGGAAACAATCTCCCACGTGGACGGCACTGACAGAGCCATGCAGGTGGACAGCAGCGCTGTGCCAGATGTGCAAGCGCAGGGGTGCGAAAGAGCAGCAAGAAAAGCCTGCAGTCCAACCCGGAAAAGATCCCCATTGGTCTCTGTTTATTTTGAGAACAATAAGCTGTCGACATTCCCCAAATGTGGGGAGGGATTTGCGCTGCCAGGGCTTGAGCCACAGAGGAGGTCTGCACCCGGGCCACTGCAGGGAGGGAGAGGCCCCGAGCCTGCCAAGGGCAGGACACAAGTCACCGTAGGCCACGTTCTTCCCACGCCAGAAGGGCCAGCAGCGAAGGGGAGGCGAGCTGGCCCCTGACCTGATCTCTCTGACTACATCCCAGACCCGGAGAATGGGCAGCATCCTCTCCCAGGACATCCACTTCTGGATTGGGAAGGACTCCTCGCAGGATGAGAAGAGCTGCGCAGCTATCTACACTACGCAGCTGGATGATTACCTGGGGGGCAGCCCCGTGCAGCACCGGGAGGTCCAGTGCCACGAGTCCGACACCTTCCGCGGCTACTTCAAGCAGGGCATCATGTGAGTAGCTATGCACAGAGCAAGGACGTAAGCGCAGTTTACCAAAGAGGAAACCAAAAGGGCCAAAATGTATATGAAGAAAGTCATCAGAGAAATGCAAATCCAAACAAAGCCATCATTTCCGCCTACTAGAGCAGCGTAAATCAGAGAGCTGAGAGGCGCCAAGTGTCGTCGAAGCTCTGGGGAGACAGGTGCCCTGCTGGTGCAAGTGAGAACTGGCCCAACATTCCAGAGAGTAGTCTGCTGCCACTGGGGCAGATCTCACCCCCGGCGTGTGACCCAAAGGAGCCCTCGCCTTCCCAGGTCCACAAGGGCACATGAACCAGAACGTTCACACTAGTGGTGGTGGGAAGCTGCAGGCAATGTGGACAGGAAAAACACTCCGCGACACAGCGGAGTGCAGTGCCACAGCTGGAAGCAACAGATTAGAGGCACATCTGACGTGGACAGACCTTAAAAACATGGGGCTTAGGGAGCACAGGTAGAAACAGGCTTGAAATATAGAACAGAATGCCAATTTCTGTTTTAAAAAAAATACATAAACTCAAAACAACAGGCCACATTTTACCAGAATGAAAATAAAAAGACTGATGTTAAACTGTTAGAATGGATGCCTATGGCGGGGAGAGAAAGGGGGGTAGGGTATACAGATAAAAGGGAACACATAAATACTTACTACAAGAGAGGGGTCTCATAAAGGCCAATGGTGAAAACCTTCCACAAACTGAGGAGCTTGATTACCTCAAAACTTTGCACTTGAGATTGAAAAGAAAAAGGAATTCCAATGAGCTTGACAGTTCTGAGGCTGGTCCAAGGCCAGCTTCTTGCAGGTCAGCAGTCCCCACTGAGGACCTACTGGGCACAGAGCACCACACTGAGTCACCAGGGAAGCCTCTGCTCCCCGTGGCTTTCTGCGTGCCCTTCACGTATGGGACCCCTGGGGGAGGCTGGGCTGGGGTGAGGGCCAGAGGCGGGAGAGCGGATTCCTGGAGTGAGATGGTTTTTAAGGCCACGGTGTCATTAATGTTTCTGCTCCCGCCTGACTTGTGCCCCTCTCCCCATCACACGCGACAGTTTCTAGAACGAAACAAAAGAAGTTCTTCTGTGCTCTGGGGACTTCATCAGTGATGCACCCTCTGTCTGGAGAACTAGTCCTCTGGTGGTTGGTTCCTACTCTTAATATCCCAGCTCAAATGTCAGTCCTTCGGAGAAGACTGCCCTGAACACGCTGTCTGAGTGCCCCTCTGTGGCAGTGGTGACCAGCATCTATGTCTACCTGGCTCATTTACTGTCGTCACCCACGTGGGCAGAGGTTGCATGTGTGTGATCCACAACTGTCTCCCCAGTACCTAGCACATAGCAGGTGCTCAATAAATAACGGATGTTCCCTCAGCTACAAGAAGGGGGGTGTGGCCTCCGGGATGAAGCACGTGGAGACCAATACCTACGATGTGAAGCGGCTGCTGCACGTGAAGGGGAAGAGAAACATCAGGGCCACCGAGGTAAGTCCTGCCCCTTGTCTGTCCTGGGCCCAGGGCCTCTCCGCCTAGCACCTAAGAACTCCTCCTACATAATGTCTACCTCTCCCCTGCAGGTGGAAATGAGCTGGGACAGTTTTAACCGAGGTGATGTCTTCCTGCTGGACCTTGGGAAGGTCATCATCCAGTGGAATGGCCCAGAGAGCAGCAGCAGGGAGCGTCTGAAGGTGTGGCCTGTTCTGTTGCTCCTTCCTTCCCCCCCCCCCCCCCCCCCCCACCCCCCGCGGGGCCTCTCGGGCTTGCACTCCCTCAGTTGCCCTTTCCTTCTTCTTTCCTCACTGGCTCTTTCCTGCCCTTCAAGCCAGACCCCTGCCTTTGAGCAGCATCTGTTTCAGAGACAGGCCACGTGTGTGAGCCTGCGACTCAGCATCAGGGTTAACTCCTGTGTCTGGGATCCAGGCTGCTCCTCCGGTCCTCGGGCTTCTTTACAGGCTATGCTCCTGGCAAAGCATATTCGGGACAGGGAGCGAGGGGGCCGTGCTGAAATAGGAGTGATCGAAGGAGACAAGGAGGCGGCCAGTCCAGAGCTGATGAAGGTCCTTCAGGACACCCTCGGCCGGCACTCCATTATCAAGCCTGCGGTCCCCGATGAGATCACAGATCAGCAGCAGAAATCAAATATCACGCTGTATCAGTGAGTAGCTAAGCCTGGCTGCTGGCTGGAAGCTGGGGTAGGGGGAAGGTGTCCCCCCAGAAAACCAGCACTTCTGCTTCGCTCCTCGTTTGGGGTACAGGTGACTGGCTTTCTTTCAGTCTTTTTCAAATGCAGCTTCTATAAGGAGCTCGGTGTTCCCTGAGCAGCTACCATCTGCTCTTGTTAGCAACTCTTCCTGGTCTCTGGGGGAGACCATTCCTTTGCTCAGATCTATATGTACCTAGGGATGTGGACAGCATAACGTTCGGAAGAGAGATGCACAAAAGTCTCCTCCACAGAACACAGTCCATCACATTCCTGTCTGCATTCAAGCCATGCCTGTCGCAAGAAGTTGAACTCTACCCAGAAACTCCATTCTAAGACAAAGCCATGCAATATCAGATTGACTACACGATGCTTTGTAGAAGAGAAGGTACAGGCTAACCTCTCCCCTTCTCTAGTGTCTCAGACTCAGCTGGGCAGCTGGCGGTCACAGATGTAGCAACGAGGCCTCTGGTCCAGGGCTTACTGAACCATGATGTAAGTAGAGCTTGGGTGGGCTTGGCTTGGGGTAGCCAGACCTGGCTTCAGAGGCAGACCCTAGGGAAAGGCCTTCCTCATGGTCTTGGGCAGGAGTAACCACTTTTATCCCTGACCGTCTGCTTCAGGACTGCTACATCCTAGACCAAAGTGGAACCAAGATCTACGTGTGGAAAGGAAGAGGAGCCACAAAGGTTGAGAAACAGATGGCCATGTCTCAAGCTCTGGTAGGAGCTATGGATGTGCAATATTGTCCAAAAAATTCTGTCCATAACACATCAGATGTGCTCAGAGAGCCATATTAGGCACCAGAGTATAGAACATCGCAGTTACATACATAACTTCAAAGTCAGACAAACTGGGATTCAAATCCAGGTTTAATGCCATCTCCTGGGGTTGTTGTGAGGATTAAGTAACATTTATAAAGCACTCAGAACAATACCTGGCGCACACACCTGCTCAGTAAAAGGTGGCTGTTATTATTGAAGGAGGTGTCACATATCAAGGGCAATGGCCCTGTCCTCAAGGAGCTTATGACATTATGCAGACCCATGCAGATGAACGAGGCAGGATGCACTTACAAAGCAAAAAAGGGGCAAATGAAGGTGATACAAAGTCAGTAGAGTACAGGAGTGCTGAAGTAACACAGAATAGAGGATCTTACAAAAAAAAAAAAAATCAGTAATAACCATGACAGGCCAATGAAGAGATGTCAGAATGTTCTACTCAGTCCTTTCCTTGAGGCAGGTGACTTGGTCCCTAGACAGAAGTGAGTTAGAATTTGACTCTGACTCTGAGAAGGGAACAGTCCTACCAACTGGCTTCACAGGGTTGAATCACCAGCCAAGTCAAGAGCCCAGTGCACTCCCGGACTGACCTGTCCTTTGGGGGGGGGGGGGGCACCCGCAGAACTTCATCAAGATGAAGGGCTACCCCAGCAGTACCAACGTGGAGACCGTCAGTGACGGTGCCGAGTCAGCCATGTTCAAGCAGCTGTTCCAGAAGTGGTCAGTGAAGGAACAGACCGTGGGTCTGGGGAAAACGTTCAGCATTGGTGAAATCGGTAAGATTGCCCCCAGATTGTGTTTTCACTGCCGGGACTCTGTAGAAAGGCAGGCACAGGTGCTTTTTGCTCACTTGGCTTCTCCCAACCCCTTCCGTGCAGCTAACATTTTCCAGGATAAATTTGATGTGACTCTGCTGCACACCAAACCAGAGGTGGCAGCCCAGGAAAGAATGGTCGACGACGGCAATGGCAACGTTGAGGTAAGCCCAGTGACCCACATCCCAGGGCAGGCGGCAGCACTGGCCCTCCTGGCTGCCCTGCTCTACAGAAGGGACATGTGATTCCGTGTCTGCTTTGCTTTCCTTTCCTTTCCACCTCTGGCACCTCAGGACTATTCAAAGAGGTGTCTGAGTCTGCAGGGTTTTCCCACAATTCTTCACGGAAGTGAAAGGTAGATACTCCAGTGTGCTATCAATAACTCACCTGGCAGACATATTCAAATCATCTCTGAGCCATGATGGGGATGCATCTGACCAGGGACGATCCAGTTCTTGGGATTCAAATCATGCAAATGTGATAAGCCCTCACCACTGGAAAGAAGCACCAGAGGGGGAAGGTGTACTTTGAATGGACGTTAGTGCCTCACCCACCTGGATTCTCTGCTAAGCATGGCCCAGTTCCCTCCAGGTAGCTGTTTCTTCACGGGACTCCCATCTCTGGGGAACTGTGTCTCCTTCTATGCCTAGGTCTGGAGAATTGAAAACCTGGAGCTGGTCCCCGTGGAGCATCAGTGGTATGGCTTCTTTTATGGGGGAGACTGCTATCTGGTTCTCTATACGTACGAGATGCACGGGAAGCCGCACTACATCTTGTACATCTGGCAGGTAGGCCTGGGGCAGCCTCTCAGCTTTGGATCCTGGCGCCTCCTCTGGCCACTGAGCTAGGGCCGGGGGTAGCAGGGACCCATCGCACCCGCTCACCACTACAGGGCCGCCACGACTCACAGGATGAGCTGGCAGCCTCGGCATACCAGGCAGTGGAGGTGGACCGGCAGTTTGATGGGGCCCCTGTGCAGGTTCGGGTTACCATGGGGAAGGAGCCACGCCACTTCATGGCCATCTTCAGAGGAAAGCTGGTTATCTTTGAGGTGAGAGCCCTCAGATAAAATTATACCATAAGCAGAATGCTCAGAACCAGCAGGTCAGCAGGAGACTACAGTAGAGGAGAGGAGGGGTAGAGAGCAGGGCTTGGGGAAGACATAGACAAGAAGGGGGTGAATCTCTCTAAAGACACTGAAGTGAATCCCGACTGCCTAGGGCTTCAAGTCCAAACCACTGCCTAATTCGTGTTCAAGGTCTTTTATAATCTGACCCATATTACCTGTGCAGGCACATCACCCTCAGCTCCCTAGCCTACACACTCCACGCCAGTCAGGTGGGTGTCCTCGTTAGACTTCAGATGTGCCATATCATTACCTGTCCACCTCCCCCAGAGAATGTGCCCCTTCAGATTCAAGTTCCATTTCTTCCATGAAGCCCTGGCTGAAGCACTACCAGGAATGTATAATGTCACATGTTTGATATACACAAGTCTGTGGTCAAGTCCTAGTCTTGTCATTTATTAGCCAAGTTTCTAAGCCTGTTTCCCCATCTGCACTGTGGGATAATAATACCTACTTCACAAAGTTATTATGAGGATCTATAAAATGATGTAGATAAGGCACCAGCAAAGAGCCTGGCATATAATCAGGGTCTCATAATGAAAGCTAATACTATTGGTACCATAACTCCAGCTCACCTCAACCTCTCCCAGTTAGCCTAGACGCTCCTTGAGGGCAAAGACGGTGTCAAACACATCCATGTTCTCCACTATGCTAGACCAGTGCCCGGCGCACATGGTGCACCTTAGTTCCAGACGCTGCTTTTCTCTCTCTCTCTAGGGTGGGACTTCCAGGAAGGGAAATGCCCAGCCCGATCCTCCGGTAAGGCTCTTCCAGATTCAAGGAAATGACAAATCTAACACCAAAGCGGTGGAGGTTCCAGCCTTCACCTCCTCCCTAAACTCCAATGATGTCTTTCTGCTGCGGACCCAGGCAGAGCACTACCTGTGGCATGGCAAGGTAGGATGGCTGGCCCAGTGGTCATACCAGCCCCTCAGAGCCCAGCCCTGCACCAACCCTCCTGTCAGCAAGGGCAAAGGAACTAAAGAGTGGGCTGGAGCAGTCCTCAAAAAAAGGAACCCTTTCCTAAAGGATCTTCAAAGGGACTGACAATGTTCCCCACAATTAGGCCTCTAATTAGAAACTCACTAACACACTGCTTACATCCAGGAGACCCTCCATAAACCTCTAAACACATGGAGGCTGGATGCAGGCTGGATAAGTCAATCTTTCCACACCAGTTTGGTGGACTGTAACAGGACGGCCATGAACACTGAACAGAAACACTAAAAATGTGATTTTTGTCAATTTAGATTGCGTCTGCATTAGAAAGCACTAAAATTGTTTTGCAAAAGAGAACTGAACAGGAAAAGATGCTCAACATCGTTAGTCATTAGGGAAATGCAAATGAAAACCCCAATGAGATACCACTACACACCTATTGGAATGACTGAAAAAAAAAAAAGATAATATCAAGTGCTGGTGAGGATGCGAAGCAATAGGAATTCTCACACACTGCTGGTGGGAATGCAAATATGGCCTTTGGAGAACAATTTGACAGTTTCTTATAAAACATACACGTACCGTATGACCCAGCAACCCCATTCCTGGGTATGTACCTATGCGAAATAAAAAACTATCTTCACACAAAAACCTGTACACAAATGTTTATAGCACCATTATTTGTAATCACCAAAAACTGGAAGCAAACCAACTGGAGGATGGATAAACAAACAGCGGTGCATCCACACAATGGGATACTACTCAGCTATGGAAAGAAACAAGCTGTTGATACCCACAACTGCAAGGATGAATCTCAAATGCATTATGCTAAGTGCACAGTGCACTAGCCCAGAGGCTACATAGTGTATGATTCCATTTATGACATGCTGGAAAAGGCAAAACTATCGTGATGGAGAACACATCAGTGGTTGCCAGAGGTTAAGCATTCAGGGAGGGTTTGACTACAAAGGGGGAGGTAGCCCGAGGGAAATTTTTTGCAGTGGTGAGATGACTGTTCTGTTTTTGTTGTGGTGGTGGTAGCATGATTCTATGCATTCGTCAGGAGTCACAGAACTCTGCGGCAAAAAGAGTGAATTTTCCTGTATATAATTTTTAAAATACACTTAAATTTTCTCTTAAAAAATAGTCAAAGGTAGGTGCTAAAATTCCAACTGAAAGCAAAACAAAGGTGACTTGTCAATATCCACTGTGGGTTTCAGAGTTTAGTCTTGTCCTTTGCCACCACTGTTTTCCTCCGTGCCCCCGCCCCTTGCCCCCTGCCCTTCCCAGCACCAGAACAAACCTATCTATCTCCCCGTCCTGAGGTACTGTGGCTTGGTAGATGATCCTGGCTGCACTGAGCTATTAGTCTCAGACACTTTTTTCCCACATCAACGTGCCTGTGTGCAGCTAACATCTGTGTTCTCCCCATCCCACTCTCAGGGGTCTAGTGGGGATGAGCGGGCAATGGCTAAGGAGCTGGCCGGGCTTCTCTGTGATGGCACCGAGAACACAGTGGCTGAGGGCCAGGAGCCAGCTGAGTTCTGGGACCTGCTGGGAGGAAAAACTCCCTATGCCAATGACAAAAGGTACAGGACCACAGCATCCCCTCCTCTTGGCTCCCCCTGCCTACAGACTTGTGAACTGCACATGATTTCTAAGCAGCTCAGTTCCTCTACTAAATGGACTGTATTGCAGACTACAGCAGGAAATCCTAGATGTCCAGTCCCGTCTCTTTGAATGTTCCAATAAGCCTGGCCGTTTCATTGTCACTGAGATCACAGACTTCACCCAGGATGACCTGAACCCAGATGACGTGATGCTCCTGGATACCTGGGACCAGGTAAGACAGCCAGAGAGCTTGGAACAAATGACAAAGATCCTCAAGCTTTAGGCTATTTTTTGTGTAGCACCTCTCCCCAACCCCCCCACATAAAGCCAGGGTAGCCCTGGACCATCCCCAAGCCAATCAAACATTTGTCAGTGGTGACCAAAGGAAGAACCTGCTTTTTGCCAGGGCTGGAGAGACTAGAATGTTGTTTAAAACTCACCATCCTGGGAATTTTCCCACTTTGCTTTAGGAAAATCACGCCATCCTATCATCATGCACTCCGTTCTCTCAGGACCAAGGGCAGCAGGCTCCACACCCAGGGATATGGGCCTTTTAGGGAACAAAGGGATATGAAAGCGTATCTTCAAGGCCACCCGTTCACCACATCCCATTTTCTTCAGTTTGGCTCAGTAAACATACTCAACACCTTGTCTGTTCTAATCACTGTGCCAGGTGTGGTGTCACCAAGGCCAAGGGCCTCATCCTACTCTCAGAGTTTAAGGCTGAGCGGGGGTGGAGGAGACCGGACATAGAAACATCATTTTAGTATGAGGGAGGTATGTATGAGGTGCCATGGGAGCACAAATAAGGGGCACTCAACACAGTTTAGGGGCTCAGTGAAGACTTTCTGGAGGAGATGGCTCCCAGACTCAAAGGATAAACAGGCATTAATCAGGTAAAGAGGGCATTCAGGCAAAGGAAAACCAAGGCATGAATAGTCTAGTATACAGGGAACTACAAATAGTATCGTCAGAGCATAAGACAGAGTTGAAGAGCACGCTAGAGGTGGAGCTAAAGAAGTAGGGGTGGGCCTTACCTACCACGTCAAGAAGTTTGAAATTCATCCGGGAAAGCTACTGAAATTTAAGCAGGCGAGTGACATGGTCAGACTGTGCTTTAGATAGATCACTCTGGTGAGTGTAGGAGAGGAGGGATGGCTTGTGAGGAAAAAGACTGTATGTTGGGAGACCTATCAGCAGACCACTGTCCTAGTCCAGTAAGAGCAGCTGCCGGCCCACACAGGAGCTGTGGAGTAGAGACAGAGGGATGGTGACAGACTGGACAAAAGCATAGGAGGTAAATTAGCTAAGTCCTGGTGTTATG